TTTTTTTTTTTTTTTTTTTTTTTTTTTTTTTGGTACGGGGATTGAACTCAGGCCCTTGTGCTTATAAGGCAGGCGGAAGAACCACTGAGCTAAATCCCCGGCCCTCTCTGTACTTTTCTATAGGCCGTGGGTTGGTTTCTGGCTTCCTGGCTGACCAGTCAGCTCCACACTTCTGTCTTTCTCTCAGGGCTGCACACAGTAGAACCTTGCTAAGCATGCTGACTGCCCTGCAGAGGGCACATCCTGCCCAGAGGGCCGCCCACTCCTCCACGGGCAGAGCCCTAAGGCCTGTCAGGCCTGGCTTCAGTGGGACTTTTGAGGCAGCTGCCACCAGTGGCCTCACAGCTTTGCCAACAGCCTGAAAATGTTCAGACAACAAGGCAGCTATGCTGGGGGAATCTCATTTGTGGAGATTCCACGGCCTCCCTCAGGCTCCAGGGCTGCTGGAGTGACATAAAAACTGACTGGTAGGGAAACAGCGCTTAGCTAGACTTGGATCTGTGGACACCAACAGTGCACACACCATTCATTCATTCATCCTTTCAAGCAACGGTGTGCATCCCTCTCACTTAGCAGAAGGCAGGGAAAAGGGCAGACTGAGGTGCCTGCTTTCCTGGAGCAGAGGTAGAACAAACAGGCAGATCATAGGTGTTTGGAAGCAAAGGTAGCCGGAAATTGGGCCGGGGAAGACCACACACAAGTGGCATTGGAACAGAGAAGCCTCAGACTCAAGCAGGAAGGGGGGTCCTAACTCCAGGGATCCTTGACTGTGGCAGAATAGGATTCAATGCCTGCCCTGGCATCCTCAGATCATCTGCTCTGCCCTGCTCTATCTGAAATGGGCAGGGTGGGCATGTCCGCATGGCCATTTAAGGGGATGTAGACCTCTGGTCCCTGTGGTGAACCAAGCTGCAGTGGGAAGCACTAGGGAGGGAAGTCAGCTGCCTGCCCTTTGCTCTGCAGACCCCGACTGGTCCAGGGTCAGGGTGCAGAGCCCGTGTGAGTCCATTCACAAAGGCTAGGTGACGCCTGTTGGTTTCTCCCCTGTGACTCAGGACCCCTACCCCTGTACACACCTGCTAAGGCCCCCTCAGGAAAGGGTCTCCATGAGTCAGACCATGCAGGGACAGCTCCATCCAGGCTATCTCAGTCTCTCTGGCCTTGTTTTCCTTGTGGAGAGGACTGGGGCTTTCCTGACCAAGGGCCATTGACTTCCACTTCTGAAATGGGCTCGAAGGGCGGGGTAGAGGATCTGCAGAGGGATGGAGAAGGACTCCGGCTGTGTAAGGGTGAGGCTGAGCTTGGGGCAGCTGCTCTGTGCTGGGGAGAGAGGCAGGAGCTATCCAAACCACCTCCCCAGGATGTTGCAGCCAGGGGATCCCATCTGGAATGAAACAACCAGGTAAACTTCCTCAAGGGGCTGTAATAGGGTTTGGGGTGCTGGTGGAAATCCCAGGGGGGAAAGCTGAGGGGACATTTGGGTTTCTAGAAAGTCTGGTATTAGACATAAAGGTTCACACTTAGGAAACAGGGGAGCCTCACCTCTGCAGAGATGCAAGAGGCCAAGATCTGCTAAGGATGGGCCTGCCTGTGACACCAGGGGCAGCCTGTGGCTCTGAGTTCCACATGACCAGGGGGCTGGGAGCCTACAGGCCACTCCAAGCTTTAGCACCTTCAACAATGGCATTCAGGGGCCTTTGAGGTGGAGGAGTTGGGAACCACAGGGAGGGAGGAGGTCACAGGTTTGAGCCCAACCCTTTGAGGGACGAGTTAGGGCACGTGTGTGCCAACACACAGCCATGCAAGTGTACTTACTGATGCCCCAGGAAGCAGAAAATTGGCTCAATCTGTGTGTTCTTCCTCAGTCCCTGAGGCTCTCTTGCCATCATTTTTGGGCATAAAAACCTGGAGCTATCAAACTGTAATAAAATAGCCTGGGGCTGACACTGCAGCCGTGGGAGGGTGAAGGGAGGCAGATAAAAATGAAGATGAAGTGAATTAGGAGACATATAGAAGGTGGAAGCTAGCTGGGAAGGGATAGGAGGAAGGGTGGGAGTGAATGACAGGGCAGGGCATTGGAAGGAACAAATCTGACAGAATGAACCTCAGCCTGTGGGGTGAGGGGATGAGCCTACCACAGATCCTTCTCAGCTCACCTGGCCCTGACCTGTGTCTCACTTCTCCTCTATCCAGGGACTGTGTCCAGGGTCAGACGTCGTTACCCAACAAACTCAGGCCCAACAGGGTCATTATTTCCACCACTGTGAAGTGGGTGGCCTGTGCCTGCCAAGCCCTCACCTAAGGGCGGCTGCAAGGCACCCTGATGTCCAGAGCCGCCTCTGGGGTGCGGTGCTTAGCTCCCTTCCACCACCCCATCCCCGCCCCGGCTGGCAGCTGTGTAACCAGATCCTCTTGGTAATTAAAGACTGCTCTGTCAAAATATTTTGGGAATGTGCCTCCAACAGGCCTCCACGCAAAAGTGGCTTTTTTTCTTCACATTTGTGCAGCGCAGATGAAAATCGGATAAACTGGCCACTATTCCTTAAACAATAAAAGGGTTTCTATCAGCAGCACAGTAGATCAGTTTCAAACCACAGTCACCTTTTCACAGTCAACCTAATTCATGTTCATTGCAGAAACCCAAGAAAACCCTTAAAACCATAAAGCACAAAATAAAAACCATCCAATATAGTTTTCCTTAAATAATAATCAGAGCCTCTGTAGCTAAGCTGGTCAGTACAGCTGTTTCTGCCTACATGTGGTTTTGAGCCCTGGAAATGTGGTTTGTCTGGAACGAGATATGCTGTAAGAGGAAAATACACAGTGGATTTCAAACACATGGGCAAAAAAGAAATGTAAAATATTCCATTAATAATTGTTAGATTGAGGGCATGTTGTGATGAAATTGTTATATAATGGATTGCATAGAATACATTATTACTTTGGCCTGGCTCTTTTCGCTCTTGCTAATGTGGCGGCTGTCGGACTGTGTAACTCAGATTGGCCTGCACGGTGTTCTTTCAGGCAGTTCTATTCTGCAGGATGAGGTCTTTGGTGCCACACCCAGAGGCTGTAAGGTTCTGCCCCCCCAGCATTGGGTCAGGAGGATCACTGACTCGTCCATGAGACTGGTTCACTGGGCAGCAGTCATCAGACACAGTGTCCCCCTGAACTGCGCTCAGCTGCGGGACAGAGACCCCAGAAATGGCAGAGCCCCCGAGACACCGAGGAAGCTCGGCATCCAGTGATGCGTATGTGATGTGAATGCACGGAGGAACGCAAAGGCCATGCAAGGGCCCTCGAGCACCTGGAAGTCTCTTCCTCCCATCACTGGGGCTCACAGGAAAGTGTCAGAGTCCCAGATAGTGGGACCAGGAAGCCCTTGGTCCTCTGTCTTTTTCCCCTTGGTTCTCTTGATCTTTGCGGGGCCTGCTCACCTAGGGGAGGCATCCCATCCCTGTCCCCATCTTCATCTTCCTTCATCCCCCCGTGG